TGAATCTTCAGAAGCTACATCTTCAGAAACTTATGGATGATTCTTCAGGAGCTACATCTTCAGAAACTTATGGATGATCATTCTCAGAAACTTATGGATGATCTTCAGAAGCTACATCTTCAGAAACTTATGGATGATTCTTCAGTAGCTACATCTTCAGAAACTTATGGATGATTCTTCAGGAGCTACATCTTCAGAAACTTATGGATGATTCTTCAGGAGCTACATCTTCAGAAACTTATGGAGGATTCTTCAGGAGCTACATCTTCAGAAACTTATGGATGATTCTTCAGGAGCTACATCTTCAGAAACTTATGGAGGATTCTTCAGTAGCTACATCTTCAGAAACTTATGGATGATTCTTCAGTAGCTACATCTTCAGAAACTTATGGATGATTCTTCAGCAGCTACATCTTCAGAAACTTATGGATGATTCTTCAGGAGCTACATCTTCAGAAACTTATGGAGGATTCTTCAGGAGCTACATCTTCAGAAACTTATGGAGGATTCTTCAGGAGCTACATCTTCAGAAACTTATGGAGGATTATTCAGTAGCTACATCTTCAGAAACTTATGGATGATTCTTCAGTAGCTACATCTTCAGAAACTTATGGATGATTCTTCAGGAGCTACATCTTTAGAAACTTATGGATGATTCTTCAGGACCTACATCTTCAGAAACTTATGGAGGATTATTCAGTAGCTACATCTTCAGAAACTTATGGATGAATCTTCAGAAGCTACATCTTCAGAAACTTATGGATGATTCTTCAGGAGCTACATCTTCAGAAACTTATGGATGATTCTTCAGTAGCTACATCTTCAGAAACTTATGGATGATTCTTCAGGAGCTACATCTTCAGAAACTTATGGATGATTCTTCAGGAGCTACATCTTCAGACACTTATGGAGGATTCTTCAGTAGCTACATCTTCAGCAACTTATGGATGATTCTTCAGGAGCTACATCTTCAGAAACTTATGGATGATTCTTCAGGAGCTACATCTTCAGAAACTTATGGAGGATTCTTCAGGAGCTACATCTTCAGAAACTTATGGATGATTCTTCAGGAGCTACATCTTCAGAAACTTATGGAGGATTCTTCAGGAGCTACATCTTCAGAAACTTATGGAGGATTATTCAGTAGCTACATCTTCAGAAACTTATGGATGATTCTTCAGTAGCTACATCTTCAGAAACTTATGGATGATTCTTCAGGAGCTACATCTTTAGAAACTTATGGATGATTCTTCAGGAGCTACATCTTCAGAAACTTATGGAGGATTATTCAGTAGCTACATCTTCAGAAACTTATGAATGAATCTTCAGAAGCTACATCTTCAGAAACTTATGGATGATTCTTCAGAAGCTACATCTTCAGAAACTTATGGATGATTTTTCAGTAGCTACATCTTCAGAAACTTATGGATGAATCTTCAGAAGCTACATCTTCAGAAACTTATGGATGATTCTTCAGGAGCTACATCTTCAGAAACTTATGGATGATTCTTCAGGAGCTACATCTTCAGAAACTTATGGATGAATCTTCAGAAGCTACATCTTCAGAAACTTATGGATGATTCTTCAGTAGCTACATCTTCAGAAACTTATGGATTATTCTTCAGGAGCTACATCTTCAGAAACTTATGGAGGATTCTTCAGGAGCTACATCTTCAGAAACTTATGGATGATTCTTCAGGAACCAACATCTTTGGAAACCTATAAATGACTACAGAAGCTACATCTGTGGAAACCTATAAATGACTGCAGAAGCTAGACTTTCAGTACTTTGGATGACTCTTCAGAAGCTACACCTTTGTAAACCTATGGATAGAATGCACATTAAAACAAAAGCTTTTTATTTTTGAGTTAATAATGTGTCTAATATGAAGATGTGAGCATATTATCTTTTGCTTATACAGGATTACAATTTTTAATGATAGTCAGGACTCCACATAGTGAAAAATATTTTTAAAAGGTTTTGGTAATTTAAAATGTCTTGTGGATCTTCAATGTGAGGAACTCATTATTGAGGGGGTCAAATAATGCTTCTCGTAATTCATAAACTAGGGTTTAATTATACTCTATTAAATTGCTCTGACAATGAAAACTTCCATTTGAGACAGCAGGTGAATATTCTGCTTTAATAGGGAGCGAATAACACAATATACACATATTGTATGTGTGGAGTAAGCCACCCAACACCACAGAGAAGGAAAGATCCAAGACTTTGAAGTGCTAATGGGTTAGATCATTACCCATTGCAGGCAGATGACAAGCTTTGCTGCTGCATTTGCAACAGTGTTCTCTGCATTTCACCAACAGTAACATATCTGATGGTCCTCCAGCGTTTTCACTATCACTTGTCCGTGCGCATGTCATTAACAGATTTGAGATCCTTCATGAGAAAGCATCACTCATCAGTCACCTTTTTCCAGCTCTGCATTCAGCCGTCTGTTTAATACAACAGAGCAGACTAGATCCTTTACAATAGCTGTGACTGAAATCCAAAGAAGTTGCTAAAACAACATGACAGGACCTAGACGGGAAAGAGAGAGTCGAGGCATACCCTTTATCAGCTCAGGCATTTTTTCCTTCTAGATGCATAATGGGAGCATGCCGTGTCTCCAGTGCCCCCTGCTGGAAACAAGAAACAGTTCATTTCTGTCCTGATTAGCAGCAACACATGAGCAAACACATTTTAAGAAAGCAAAAAAGGGTCAGTGTATGCTATCCTGGACCATCAGAAGCACTCTGTTCCCCAGATTAATTATGGCATGTCCCTGACTTCACCTGTCCTCACATCCAATCCTTCCATGTGGAACTGAGGCCAGACAGAGATTTATGTGTGTGAATGTACATGCATATGCTCCCTACTGAGCTCTCTTTCTTCTCTGTTCTCTTGCTTTAAGAGTTGATAAATCTTGAAGGTTGCACTAAAACTCTACTGGAGCAGAAGACCCCATCAAAGTGGGCCATCTAATTAGCACATTAAACCCAGCTGGTGTTAAGGTGGCATCAACTGGATAGACCTGCTCATACCTGTTCTGAAGGAGAACGATTTAGCAGAGCAGACCTTTGCAGTTGAATATACATTAAAAGTTATTACTGCGCCACCGTGCCGCCAGGGAAACACATTTAAGACTTGTAAAAATTAAATATTTTATAATGTATTCTCTGGTTAAATTCTGAGAGAGAACAAATAAAAGCCCCCTCTTTGTTTCTTTCTTTCTTCAATGGTATTTAGCTGTTAGCATCTTCAGTGATTAAAGCTAAATAAATCCACATTTTCTGTTAAATTGTCTTCAATCTTGCTTCCAGAGTCTTTTACAATGGGTTATGAATTAATTTCCATAACAGACTAAAGGGCAAAAACAGTGTGTGCGCATGCGTGTGTGTGTGCGTGCCATCAACCAATGATTGCAACTAGAAGCTACGAAAGTGCATTTCAAGTCACATGAGCATGATGTTAAAAAAGTAGTAGTTACGGTTTTATTAGTTTAAAACAGAAAAAAAATCAAGATTTACAACTGTTTTTTGTGATTGATCAAGATTATTTCACATGTTCAATTATGGAACATGTAATTTTTGTACCTTAAATCTGATTAAGTGTTACCTTTCAGTAACAAATGATGCATATGTTTGTTTGGCCCAGATTTCCCAATGGGGCACAACCCTTCCCTGAAATTGAGTTGTAAACGCATTGTGTTTATTACGGAAAAGTACTGATTTGAGAGTTTAATAATGATTATTAAATTATTATAATTATATTAATCATTGGACTCGATTGTGATCCATAAGAGTTACCACATTGGCTATAGAGATTTGGCCAGAAATTAGAAAACCTGGCCTTTCCTGATTTCAACACCAGGAAAGTATTTAAAACAAAGATTCAATGTGTACAAAAGCCTCAATGCCAGGATTTGTTGGAGACATTAAGTAATGAAGAGACTTGTGGACATGAGAACAATTCTCTATAATCCATTTTCCCATTTTTATAACAGAAAATTTCCAATTTTTATTAGCATCTCTAGCTGTTAAAAGCTGAAGCTCCGTGCTTTTCTACATATTGTAAAAAGCCAGTGGGTGCATTTTTTTTTTAGCAAAACACTGTTCGTCCTGTTACGGTACATCTAAGCATTTTCTTTTTAAATAAATATTTTCATATCAACCATTTTAATTCCCGATTAGCAAAAGAAGTGTAGGGTATGATACCCAGATCAAAGAACACATTTCATGAAAATACTTCAATTAAGCTTTAATTTAATCAAAGAGGTGGAAGAGGAGCCAAGTGGGGTGTCGAAAGACGACGTCAAAGATAATACCATGTTCTCTTCAGGGTGTCGAAGACGATTGGACTAGTGGCTCAATAAACCCCTCTTCTCAAACACTTTATTCAAAATTTGAAGAAAGTTAGCAATTGTTAACACAGAGGACTGTTCAATGCAACAAGACCAAAATGTCTAGACTAGTTTTGTCTGTTTTAGCTTTGTCTATAAAATCTTATTTGATTTCATCTGGCTTGGTTCTTGACTAGCATATCATTACCTTGTACAAATGATTTTGATACCAAGCTCTAATGCTAATTGATTGGTAGCACAAACTATTACAGATCTAATCAACGTCTTGTTACAATGGTAAGTCAGTCAAAAGTCTGATTTACCAGACACAACATGCTTACCAGAAATCCATTTCCAATTAATTCGCTTCTCCTTTCAATGTATTTCAGCAGTCTGTAGAATGGTGCCCTTGAAGTCTTTAAAAATGCAGTCAATCGCACAACAGCATGAATCCAGTGCATGAATAGGCTTCTTTCCACTCACCACGTGACTTCCAGGTAATGTAAAGTCATTTGAATAACCTCAATCGAGTCACAGTTACTGAACTTAAAACCCTACATATTTTTCTTGTATCAATATTACATTTACATTTATGCATTTGGCAGACGCTTTTATCCAAAGCGACTTACATTTGAATGAACATTTTTTTCTGTCAGTTCTTGCTTTCCCTGGGATTTAAACCCACAACCTTTTGCGTTTTTAGGGCAATGCTCTACAAACTGAGCCACAGGAAAGCTGTGTGCATAAATTATTTAAATGAAGCGATCACTAAAGCAAGTCAAAGAGGGGCATTTAGTTGATTGACGCATTGTGGTACTTAATAAAATGTTATGTATTGTGTCAACTAATCCTGTTGAACTAATTCAATGTAACTCAATTCATTGATTAATTCCCAATACATCATAAACTGAAATACATCAAACAATCCATTTGCGAATGTGTTGCAGTAACCATAGCTCCTATAATCCACTATGAGGTAATTACTGCAGTGTTGTCTATGCTTGCCCTCTGCCATTTGCCAAATTACAAAAGCAGCAGGTTTGGTTTAAAGCTGCCATGGACGGCTGACCATCCGTGCAGCGTGTCAAGAGTCTATAATATCCCTGCTTCTTTGCCAATCGCTTGATGAATCATTCAATAAAGGCTCCTCCTGCTGTTAGCATAAAACAGCTCTCAGAGGCTGCTCTCTTGGCCTGCTGACCTGTGTTCACACTCAGCACTTAGCAGTTCTGCTACTCTCATGATTTAAAGCACGGTGTTCAACCCCATTCATCCATGGCCGGAAAGCGAGTAAACCTAGCAGCCATTCAGGATCCTGCACCGACTTTGCCTTTACAGATGTATGAGGAAATCATCTGGTAACAGAAGTAGAATTTAAAAAAAAAATTAAATGTTAAGATAAACGACCACTGCTTTTTGCAAATCAGTTCTAATCATCAAATGCTTCTTCTGCAATAATATAAGCCTACGAAGGTCAAGAAAGGCATCATTGAATCACTTCGCAAGTGCTCTATTGGATTTGAGATCTGGTGACAGTGGAGGCCATTTAAATACAGAGAACTCAATGTTCAAGAAACCAGTCTGAGATGACATTGCTGCTGGAAGTAGCCATCAGAAGATGGGTTCACTGTGATCATAAAGTGGTCACAGTGTTTTTTCCAGTCTTGGTGAGCCTGTGAATTGTAGCCTCAGTTTCATGTTCTTAGCTGACAGGATTGGCACCCGGTGTGGTCTTCTGCTGCTGTAGCCCCAAGGATAGACGTGCTGTGGGTTTAGAGATGTGTTCGGGTAATCTCTTCTGACTTCTGGCATCAACAAGCCATTGTGCCGACAGAACTGCCACTCATTGGATGTTTTCACTTTTCCAGACTATTCTCTGTGAATCCTAGAGATGAATAAAAATCTCAGTAGATCCTCAGTGACAACCCTGTCTGAGACAAAGAACCATGCCATGTTCAAAGTCACTTAAATCATCCCATACTGCGCAAATCGTCTCGACCATCTCTAAATGCCTAAATGCTTTGAGTTGTGACCATGTGATTGGCTGATTAGAAATTTGCTTTAAACAAGCAGTTGTACAGGTGTACCTAACAAAGTGGCCTGTGAGTTCATTATATTCATTTACCCGTGCAGCTAAAACAAGCAAAAATGTAAGTCTGTACCCAAGTACAAAGTTCTGTAATTTTGCCAGAGTTAATAACATTGCTAAAGTGAGTTCATTCACTTATTCATCTAGAGTCCAAAAGTGTTGATGCCACAATGATTGTGTCTTTTCAGTAATAACAATTGCATGGAAATGTACCACAAATTTGATTCTGTTATCAGTTGTTTCCCTTTTCCAAACCTAGTAATTTAAAAACAATGAAGTTGTCAGTGAGTCTGTTATCAGAGGAAGGAGGGCAGCGGGTCAGTTTTGTTATGCAGATTCACTGGACCTTACCTAGATTACTTAACTAAAATAACATTTACAAATGCGACAATAAAATGAAATGTATATCACGAGACTAGCTATGTACTGTTGATTGACGATGGATGGAAAACCAAAAAATAAGAACCTGGAAAAAAACAAACAAATGTGAATTAAGACGAATATCAGTCACAAAAAGCACAAATTGAATTAAAGTAAAGAGTTAGACTTAATTAATTTTAATATGACACACATTTCTATGACGTTGCAGGTTGATTGATATGGATGGTTTGATTTACCACTGATCATAACATGATAAACACGAAGATGGACTGGTATAGAAACAAGGAACTGATTGAATATCTTTTAAACTCTTATACTATCATAGAGTTATGCTATAGCTGGTAGATAATTCCCTTAACTCACAGACTCCCATAATTCATGCATATCAGTTTAGTACAGTTCAACTTTAAGTGAAATTTCCCAACACAAATTCCAGGAGGCAGCCAGATGGATATATTGTCCAACCATCTATAATGAAACTCATTAGCAGCCTGTATTAGCTGCCTTCTCTCCTGACAAAAACCCTCCTCCACCACTTCGACACTTACTATGGGACCCTGGATCCTCTCGGACAGGTCACCTTCATACGTCTACCATACTCGCGAGACCCACTTGCGCACTAAAGTGTTCAGATATCAATCACAGAAAAAAAATGTTACTTCTGCACAGTCTGCATTGTACAGTATTTACAACAGGTTTTATCTGATTGTATATTGAAATTAATACCAAATTGTTTTACATAAGATTGGCCTGTGGGGCTTGAACAAAATATTTTTTTTCTGGGGGGAGCAGCTTGTCCATTTGGATTCCTATCCAAGTACTAGATTGTGAGAAATCTTGTGTTCAGATTCATGATAGAAAGTTTGAGGTTTCTACCAAACCGATTTTTTTTTACTCAATATAAGTTTGGAAGAGTTTCACTGAATGATGAAATACAGCATTTTTGATGCAAGACTGTGTCTGTTTGGTCAGACTTGATGAACAGATTGAATTGGTACAATGCCATGGGCCCAAGCTGTCCAAGGATCAAGTCGTCCACAAGTTTCATTGATCGCTTGTTAGGGTGAATTGTCAGCAGTCAAATATGCCATCTGTACCCCTGCCTTTAGAAGTCCACAGGCCGGATCATCATTGTGGTCATGCTCGCAATTAAACTTGGGCCTTTCCAGTAATACCACTTAATGCTGTTGTAGCGAATTACATTGGAGTTTCCTAAATAAAATATCCCATTTAGATTGGAAGGTCCACAGGCCTCAAACCACCACCCTGCAAAATAAAGAGAAAACACCCTTGAGTTATTTCTTATTTTATTTCTTAACCAAAAACTATTTTAGCTGAAATTTTAGAGGGAATTCAACAAAGATTTTATTGAAAAATATTGTTTTTGCTCTATTTCTGTAACCACCCAGGCTGCGTCTAAAATGGTATACTATGAAGAAGCTCCTATTCCTGAATGCGAACATTCTTTACTTCATTTTAACTAAACAGTATACTGACTTTGTAAAAAAACAAGTTCAACTGATAGTACTGTGCAGAAGGTTTAGTCAGGTGGGAAAAACCAACAAAAATAAAGAATGCTTTTAGAAATATTAATACAGATTTGAAACTAATCGCAAAGTGAACTTTTCCCTTCAAACCAGCATCATTTTTATAGGTATTCTTGCACTAAGTCAGGTATTTGGTAAGAATATTGTCAAGTGTATGAACCACCAATGATCCACAAGCTCAACATCAAATGTAGTTTGAATCCCAGTCACAGCTCTTGTAATGGCAAGTGAGATTTTTGTCATGGCCAGCTTGAGCACAACAAGTTAGTTATTGCCAAGGTTTCTCTTAGACAACGATTTGAAAAGCTTAACAGGGGTCCCCAAAAAATGGCCAACAGCGGCCAAGGAAATGGCCAATAATGCAATACACATCCAGCTAATAACCCTTTGAAAATGGAAGATGTCCGGCATTGTAATCAACAAAGAACAGCTGAGTGGGACTCGGGTACTACACACTACTGCATTGAGAAGTCTGGACAGAAGTGGTCTTATAGGATTTGGAACACCTCCAGCCAGGCTCCTTCAAAAACTATGAGCAAATCACTGATGAAAATAAATGATTAACAGCTCCGTTTCTGAGCTTTGTTCCATATTTCCACACCAGCACAGTGCTGTATCTTTTATTATTTGACAGTAATTAGAAAAGATCGTGTTTAATGACAGACAGACATGATACCTCCTGTGGCCATCTGAGCACACTTGCAGCTGCACTGGTCATTGTCTTGATCTTTAGTGCTGAACTGAGTGCCTGAGTGTGTTAGGCTACTGGTCCGTCCAGCTGTCCCACTGTAGCCCCTGGCATTGAGACTGCAAAATGTCAAAACACAGAAATGTTCAGAAGAAACTTATATTTTTCAGATATTTCACACAGAAATCCACAGGCTTCATTAAAGAATAAGCAAGTTAATGGAAAAAGAGTGGTTTACGTAAAGTGTTAACCAGAATAGTTGGGTAAGAAGACAAAAACTGCACAAAATCTAGAAACCAGATCATACTTTTGTGTTTTACATATCTCTAATGGTATTTTGCATATTTACATTCTAGGTATTGACAGAATCACAGATGAAGAGAAAGGGTTAATTGACACGGGAAATCAGGAAGAATAGTAACTTTCTTAATCAAGCTGGCATATTCTCATAACAACCCAAGAAAGAGTCAGCAGGAGCTCAGGAACATGAAGCTTATGACTAGAACACATAATTGCGTGATTATGGAGAATAATTGGTAGATTTGGAGTGATTGTATGAGTTGTGTGAGGTGCCGACTGAAGCTCTGTTTGGGAGATTAGAGGTGGTGACTCGTGACTGGTGAGACAGTTAAATACGTGAAACAATGTTAAGTGATTTGTGGGAAAATTTTAGCTACTTTGAGCACAAATTAAGGACAACCGATTGTTTACATCGAAAGCACATCCAATGTGTTTTGACCATAGCGTACCCAATTAAAGGGTGCCTTCATATCCATCTTAAATAGTCTCAGTTTCTTAAATAATTTCAGGCATTCCAGGATGCATATCTGGTTAAAAAAAAACAACACACAGAGTGTGTATCTCAACATCTTTTTGTTTTCTATTATCTTCTTACACAATCTGATGAAAGCATCTGCTTCTATTACATCCACCGTTAACCCCAGTAATTGAAGGAGTTATGAGACTGTTCAAGATCTTCCTAGGTGATTTATCTTTTCCTTTTAGCTGTTTAAAAAGTTCAAAGACTCATT